GGAGGATAGTAAAGCGACTGGAATCGTTTCTTTTTGCACATTATCAGAGTAGCACGTCGCCTCAGCTTTAAAGAGCTTCCACGGTACTGAGATGGTTGTCCAATGACGTGGCATTCTGAAGCTTGAGTTATTTTGTTGGGGTATAAAATCTACAAAAACACCGCTCAAGTTTTAGCTTCTGGCTTTTATTTCCTTTGACAAACGGACCTTGTGTGTGTCACCTTGTGTTCCAGGTTCACGCCATTCCACTTCGATCTTCCTGGGTCATGACTTGCGCATACGCACCTTCAGGAAACTACGTGGCCTGTGGCGGCTTAGACAACATCTGCTCCATTTACAACCTGAAAACACGTGAGGGGAATGTACGCGTGAGCCGCGAGCTCGCCGGACATACAGGTATGGCGTTTTTGATTTGTCCATCTGCCAAAAAATTCTCAAACATTACAGTAAAAGTCAATTAACAAAGTATTGGTTTAAGTCGTCCCTTCAATATATCAGCTCCATACAAAGTGTTGTCTGAAAACTACAGTTGCATTGGACTGAAACGCTGGCATGTTGAGGTGTAGAAGAGTCCGCGTTGTGTAGAGAAACTTAAAGGATTATTTGAAATGTACACTTCATAACCTTTAATCTGATCTGCCTCTATTTGATGTCAGTAACTCAGATTAATTGTGTGAATGAGTTAAATACAAACTGCTAGTTCTAGATCTGCAGCTCAGTTTTATGTTAATGACCTCCTCTGGTTGTTTGTCCACCAGGATATCTGTCCTGTTGTCGCTTCCTTGATGACAACCAGATTGTTACAAGCTCCGGAGATACCACTTGGTGAGTAAAACATTTCGTCACTGAACTATCATCCAACGAGTATTAGTATTATTATTATAAGTTTGCGAGCTGGCTCTGAGCTCTCTGACTGGTGTGCTTTACTCTACAGTGCACTTTGGGACATCGAGACCGGCCAGCAGACGACCACGTTTGCCGGCCACACAGGGGATGTCATGAGCCTGTCGCTGGCCCCCGACTCGCGGTTATTTGTCTCTGGTGCTTGTGATGCGTCTGCTAAACTCTGGGATGTCCGAGAGGGCATGTGCAGACAGACGTTCACCGGCCACGAGTCTGACATCAACGCCATCTGTGTACGTTCTCTATGAATTCAAAACATTTTGGGGGGGATTTCTTTTTAACCAACACTTGATGCTGATGTATTTTCCTCGACTAATGATTTCTTTCTTTTTTTTATCGCCACTTTCAGTTCTTCCCTAACGGCAACGCCTTTGCCACGGGCTCCGATGACGCCACCTGCAGGCTGTTTGATCTGCGTGCCGATCAGGAATTAATGATCTACTCTCATGACAATATCATATGTGGCATCACCTCCGTTGCATTCTCAAAGAGTGGCCGCCTTCTCCTGGCAGGATACGATGACTTCAACTGCAACGTGTGGGACACACTAAAGGCCGACCGCGCCGGTTAGTATCTGAAGTCAGACAGTTGACTTGTTTTCCTGGTGTTATTTGTTTCTTGTGCACTGACATGGTTGTGGTTCTTCTGTAGGTGTGTTGGCCGGACATGACAACCGTGTTAGCTGCCTGGGAGTTACTGATGACGGCATGGCAGTTGCAACAGGATCCTGGGACAGTTTTCTGAAGATCTGGAATTGAAGCCTGAAGGTCTCTCTCTCTCTCTTTTGTTTTTTTTTTTATTGTTTTATTTTTAATTCACTTGTATGTAGTCCTCGTCCCAAACCTGTACACTTGTTAGAGCCTCTTGTCACGCCTGGCTGGAGCGATTCATACAGGTTTAAGAATAAAACGTCTTTCCGTTTCTTTTTGCCAGACTGTGTTTTTGAGACATCTCTTAGCTTTAATGGACGCTGGCATTCTCTTTAGACTTGTGTGATTGGCTAAACATTGTTGGCCCTACACTCTCAGTAGTTTCTAGGTAAATGCCAAGACAACTCTTGATTTTCTTTCCATACAAGACAGAGCAACAAAAACCCCACTTAATGGATGCATACCTGCTGTATTACACCACATATGTAGTCATCTCAGACAGCTGAAGCTCTTGTGATGCTGCTGCTGTCAGAAATGTAGAAAGTATGTTTTGTTCTATCATTATTGTGCTGAATTCTTTAGAGACTAGTGGTGTATTACGTTTGGCAGGCTCCCCAATAACTCTTAGCTTGCTCTGTAGCTGCTTGTAGACGTCTTTGCCCCCTCAGGGCTCGAGATTATACATGACAGGAGATCAAAACAAAAAAAAGAAAAAAGCTAAATTGCAGATCGGATTCGATGATCACGTCCTAAATTTCCGTCTGTTTCTGTTTCCCAGATGTTCTTTTAACTCCAAAGTTGACTGGAAGACCATTACAACTTGAGAATGTTCACAGCATCTTCTTCAACACTGTTTAAACTGACTTGGACACCACAAAAAAAACGAAGGGAAACCAATGCCTTTCCTACACAAAGAAGAGCACAATTGTTTATCACCTAGTTAAGAAAGGATCTCCTGTGGTATCAAATCAGAAACTTGTGCATTCCTTCTTGGACCATTTTATGTTACCTTGAAAGAGAAAACAACACTATCATCCCATGCAAATGTGTGCGTCTTGAAAGCAAATGTTGGAGTGTAATTGTACAAATTATTTAACTTTTTTTTTTTTTTTTTTTTAAGATTTCTATTCTGATGGTTTGTTATTCTTGATGGCTTTCTTTTTTTTTTGTCATATTTCTTTTAGTGGTTTTAGATATGTTTGAATTACAGCTTGTCTTTCTAATCCAGGTAAAAATCATATAAGACAGATGAGAAAAACATGCAGAAGTAAAAGCTTGGATCATATTACACGAGCAGCTTTCAGAAATGTCCATGATGTATTTATATACTAGCTGTTTTTGTTTCATCACAGCCTTTTGCACATGAAGCTTTGCCTCTCAACTAATACTATGTTAACTAACCAAGCACATGCTATAAGTTATGAATGCTCATTCCAGTACAAAAGGAGTTATTACGAGTAAATTATCCAGTTAACCCCCCTTAATTCTTGTACATGCCTTCGTCTTTTTGGTGGGAAGGGGTCGGGGTAGCAAGGCAGGTGCTGAGATAACTGAGGCATGGCTCGATTTTACTATACGGAAAAGGGGGTTTGTGTTTCGTATCCACTTTTGAGTGAAACACCTCACCTGACTTAAATAGACACTTCCTTTGCTTGGGACTGCAGTTGCAACTCTGTGAATGAAATGTACAAATCAATGTCTGAAAATAATGGTCTGATGTTTTAAGTTAAGACATTTAATTTTGTCTGCCATGAGTTAATTTAGATGTGCATGCTGTAGACTTGCTTTCAATGGTGCAAAAAAAAATCCTAGATTTTCTTTTGTTTCCGAAAAGGAGAGTAACCTATCGATTGAACTTAATAGAGGCCGATTTTTTTTTGGCTCCAACTCTATCATGTACTAATACTGGTAACGCTATGCACCAGAGTGAGCGAGAATGGAGACAGACTTAATATTGACTGCATACTTAGTGTAAATTATGCTTACCAGTTCTATTGATGCCAATTTTGTAATAATTATAACAATCATTGTGAGAATTCTATCCTTGACGAGTCCTTTTTCTCTCCTTCAGATCTTCACACTCGATGGAACAAAAATGTCCTCACATACTGTCCATACTAAAAAAAAAAAAACCAACTTTTGTACATTTTTTTTTTCTTGGTCTTAAATTGAAAATCAGAGCATCTGAATGACAACATTTCACTGTATACAGAAGCACTTTTGTTAAAGTTGTGACATATTTTCACTTTTCTTTTTCTTTTTTCTTTTTTTTTTCTTCTTCTCTGCGATGATGTACAATAAATGTGATGTATTCGTGTGTGGCCACAAGTGAAAATGCAATTCAACTGAGATGGATTCCCTTTTCTCTTTCCATTAATATTATAGAGCTCTGCACCCTTATGTACCTTTTCACTTTTTGTATTTCATTTCAGTCTGTTGGTGTTCCACGGTGAGCTGGATGCAAGATAGATACTGTACTAAATTGTACTGTTATTGATTGAAAAATGTAATAAAAAGCTGTTTGAGATCTCTTTTTTTTGTTGTGTTGAATCCAAAAGTGCTATACTTCCCCATACTCAGTCATTTAGATTTATCATTTCTCTGAAGTAGCAGCTGTTTTTTGCACCAAGCATTTAGGCGTTATCGTACATTATGTGATCGTTAAAGGATTTGGCAGATCTAAGAAGAAATCCTCATGTCACACCAGCTCAAATCTACCAAATATTTATGAATGGATAAAGATTTGTGGGTTCATAATTATATAATATTATAGATGGCTGGTGTCAGTCCCTCATCTTCTAGTATTTATGCTTCAATATACTTATAAAAGGTGCCTTTAAAATAGTTCTAGATTGCAAAAATAGCCAATTAATTCAAATTATGTTGACTTGAGTATTTATACTGCTATAATTTTGATTTGAAACTCCATAATGCCAATCTCCTCTACACCTCAACATCAGAAATAAGATCAAGGGGTTATAAAAACAAAACAAAACAGGCAGATCTCATGTCAGCGTTTACATCGTCTGACAGAAGCAAACCTTGATCGTTTGTAGCTGGAAATAAATCGTTAAGATCGCAGCTTTTAATCTGAACTCCAAAAAGCTGTGTGTCAAAGTTTGTGCGTCTCATGCGGACCGCCATCTTCCCATCTCCAACCAACCAACGTAGCAACTAACGGCAGCTGCAGTCGTGGATGAGATAAACCTGGACGAGTCCACTCCCTCCGAGGGGGGAGAGCAAAAAATAAAAGCGATTATCAACAGTGCAATTCAACGGGTTTTATTGTAGTACATCTAAAAACGAACTATTCATAACACAACATTATTAGTCTTATGATTATCACGTATGAGCGAATTATTCACTAACTATATTAGAAACACATTCAAGACACATTAACCCCATGAAATGACGCGAGCCGCTGTAATGACGTAGTTCGCTGTTCGCTCAGATAGTGCCATTTTGGTAGGCCTTACATGGTGCTTTCAATTGTCGCCTCGTGGAAAAACATTGCCGTGAGCTTGTGTACTTCACTTTGAATGAGGGACGAGACGAACGCGTTGTCAAAGTTGTTCCGCTTCTTCCGCCTGCGCAGCGCACTTTGAGGAACTCCGTTTGTCGAATTACTTTGCGGGGACATCGTGCGCAGTTTTCATTAAGAGGCACATTCGAGCGGTCGTCGTCCGGTGTTGACGACACAGCTCCCCGTCCCAGCGAACAAAGGAACAGTAAGGCCGATGCTCGCTTGCTAGCGCAGTCCAAGGGAAACAATCTATATGAAATTATTCAAAGTAAAACCCGCCGTTACGCCATTTTTGTTATAGTGTCTTCGCTTGAGACGTCTTTGTTTCAGATTAAACAAACAATTTAGCCTGACTCATTCAGTCCCGCTAGCAGCGTCGGCTAAGGTTAGCCGCGATTGTGGACAGCTAGCGAGCTAACTGCTAACTTTAGCGCTGTTTTGATCCAGGCACTAAGTTTTCTTTTCGGGCGAAAATGGCGGAAGTGTACATTCGGGTGGCGGAGGAGGAAAACGAGGAGCCCATGGAGATCCCGTCGGAGGACGACGGCACGGTTCTGCTTTCAACCGTGGCGGCTCAGTTTCCAGGGGCATGCGGCCTGCGGTTCCGGAGCCCCGTGTCTCAGTGCATGCGGGGAGTGCGTCTGGTGGAAGGGGTCCTACACGCGCCAGAAAACGGATGGGGGAATGTCGTGTACGTGGTGAACTATCCGAAAGGTGAGTGTGGGTGCACCATCCGCTACTAGCCACTTCATTTAGAACAGGTGCCCAGGTGTGATGGTATTTATAATTCATGATGTACCCTTTGCACACTGGAAATAGATGAGAATGACGCGTGGTTTGCCCACGCCCACCAGAAGTGCAAGTTCAGGCGCTAAATCCATTCACAAAGTTAAGATCCACGCTTCTACAGTGTGTGTTTACCGAGGACACCTTGCCAAAGCAGATATTCAGTAAACAGTGTCTTCCTGGAGGTCACATCTTGTGTTGAAGCTGATTTAGAGAGGCGTTGATTGAACTTCAGGGTCACTGTGAAGGTTGTGGTTGTTGATGTCAAGTTAAGTTCACTCAGGGTTCTGTTCAGTGGATATAAGCAGTTTTGTCAAAATATTATGTAAAGTCTGGAGTGTAATGACATAGAGATAAATTAGAATTGCAGTTTCTGACATAATAAAGTTGAATTGTCACCTCCTACAAACAATTTTAATCAACTTTACAGATGAATGACTCATAGAAGGATGTTGTTGCTTTAGTTTTAGTTTGTTTACGTGTGAACTGTCAAAGACAAACATCAGTTTCGTTATACTTCAGTCGTTCACAGTCCATCAAATACTGTGGAAGGAAAAACGCCAGTGAAGGACGATCGATATCTAAATGTGAACAGCACTTTGCCCTTGTCCAGCTTTGCTCGTGATGAATGTTTCCAGTAATTCTTTCCGTGTTGATCACATTTCAGACAACAAAAGAAAAATGGAGGAAATCGATGCCTCTTCTGCTGTGAAGATGAAGCGAGGGGACATGAAGACGTCTGATCTGATCGTACTGGGACTTCCGTGGAAAACAACCGAACAGGACCTGAAGGACTACTTCAGCACGTTTGGAGAAGTCATCATGGTTCAGGTATGATTTTAGTATTAACCCTCATCCTGTTTGCATATTTAACACACTAGAAGTTCTGACTCGGCTCCTCGGGGACCCTGAGGATGTCGTACTTTAACCACAATAGCAGAATATTATCTTATTGCTTCTCAAAACAATAATGTAATTAATATCATTTGAAAACAGACGGAGAGTTAGTTAATTTGCATACTGTGAAAATTTAAAAAAATAATAACTTTTTGTTGCTTTTGTCCCAAGTAAACCTGCTATCCTTTTGATTCTGGTATCATTTGTTTTCAGCAATTTCAAGTTATGCCTTTATATTCTTTATATTTGTGTCAACACCAAAACCATCCAGTCTTGATCTACGTGACACTACTGCCCACAAAACAGCACCAGTTTCAACCAGAACTATATCACATTTATATATTCTGGGTTTGTTACAGCCAAACTACATTAAATGTTTGTAGTCAGACCTTTCCTTCTCACACCGTCCCTCTACAGCCTCAAAAATGGTTGCGTATGTGCTCACTTTATAGCTTTACCACCCTGATAATGTGTGACACTTTAAATTAGGACCCAACATGAACTCAATAAACGGTTCCATCTATTTGGAAATACTTTTGTCTGGGGTCCTCTGGGGCTACATGTATTTTTCTTTAAGCACAAATTCAAACAGAAATGGAAAATGACAGAATAAAGCACCTGTGAGATGTGACAAACATACAGTTCTGTGTTTTGTGGGTGTCACCTCAGTAGGATGATCAAAATACCCTGCAGTGTTGATGACTGATGTTAATTACTGGTTGTGTGTCGTTCTTTCAGGTAAAACGAGATGCCAAGACCGGGAACTCCAAAGGATTCGGCTTTGTGAGGTTCACAGAGTACGAGGCTCAAGAGAAGGTGATCTCCCAGCGCCACATGATCGACGGGAGATGGTGCGACTGCAAGCTCCCTAACTCGAAGGTGAATATGGTAATGTCCATGCGTATACCCACACTTTATAGGATACACAACTGCGTTAACATCGTTGTTAACACTCTATAATGCGTAGCTTTTTTTCTCCTCCCCCTCGTTTACAGCAAGGTCCAGACGAGCCGCTCAGGAGCCGGAAAGTGTTTGTAGGCCGTTGCACAGAAGACATGACCACAGACGACCTACGGCAGTTCTTTATGCAGTACGGAGAAGTCACAGATGTCTTCATCCCCAAACCATTCCGTGCTTTTGCCTTCGTCACGTTTGCCGATGATCAGGTATTGTGTAAAACGCTCGGACGGTGGTTCAGTTTGTAGTGTTACCGATGGCCAGATGACCTGATCCAGATCGTTTCTTCCCTCGCAGGTTGCCCAGTCTCTCTGCGGAGAGGACCTTATAATCAAAGGAGTCAGCGTTCACATCTCAAATGCTGAGCCCAAACACGGCAATAGGCAGTTTGATCGTACAGCAAGATTTGGAAATGGTTTTGGAGCTCAAGCATTTGGTAGCAGCCGTAGTGGGTTAGGGAGCAGCACCAACAGTAGTCTGGCTAATTTCGGCTCCTTCAGTCTGAACCCGGCCATGATGGCTGCTGCTCAGGCTGCTCTGCAGAGTAGTTGGGGGATGATGGGTATGCTGGCTAGCCAGCAGCAGACGTCCACCTCAGGCAGCACCTCCAGTGGAACGAGCTCTAGCAGGGACCAGAGTCAGTCTTTCAGTACAGGCAACAGCAACTATGGCACCAGCTCGGCCGGCCTCGGCTGGGGAACAGGGTCAAACTCTACGACCAGTGGTAGTGGGTTTAACTCAGGGTTTGGGTCCAGCATGGAGTCAAAGTCATCTGGGTGGGGTATGTAAGTTAAGTGTTTGTATGGTAAGTATTGTGAGAAAGAGAGTCTTTTCGAAATTTATTTCTGGTGTTAATGCGTATCTGAAAACTTAACACTTTTGTGGAAGATGTTTTGTACATTTGGAAAAAATGCTAAAGATTTAATTTAGAACGTGTCGAAGTGAATTGTTTACCAGGATGTCTGACTAAAGTGCTATTTTTGACGTCTCATTTGTTTGTATCCATTTCAACTGGATTCTCTAATGCATGTATTGTGAAATGTGATAACCATTTTGAAAATGCATGAATGTTTGTGGTTCACCATTATCCGGCTTTGTCACCGACCTAAAAGGCAATCTTGCATTGGGAAGAATCTGGTTGAAACCTAAATGTTTTTAAGTGCAACTTTATTTGCAGTCAAGTTCTATGGAAAAGCCTTCATTGAAATCTCTTCTGCAGTTCACCTCTCTTCCATTTTCCCGTGAGGAAGCTCCTCTTTGGCAGCATTCTTGGGGTGATATCGGTATCATTCTCCCTCTTCCCACCTGTAAATGCTATGCCATCAAAGAACGGCTTCACTCCGCATGTTCTAAGAGACGGTGGGTGTTTTCACTTTTATCCACTTTTAAATGGAAAGAACTGCGCAACTGACATTTTAAGAACTGATGAGTGCGATTGAGGATGGCTTGTGACGAAGAGTGAAGCGATGATGAGTGAGCGAACGGAGAGACGCGTGAAACGGACTGGTTGTGCGGTGAAAGAGCCCAAGTTGACTGCTTTCTGAGTGTGTGAGTGGAAGCTGCAGATGCTACGAGCGCCTCCCCCCTAACATGGACATTCTTTAATTAGTACTTCAAGATTTTTTCCTTTTTTTTTTTTTTGTTTTTTTAATCTTTGCAAGTTTTTTCCTTACTCTTAAGTATGTCTATCAAGTGCAGAAATATCAAAATGTAGTGGAATGTTGTGATGAATCTTTGTACTGCTTATATTATCTGATTTGAATGCTGTATGGTGTGTGCTTTCATGTTACCGAACCGATCTGTAAGTGTGTACTTGATGTGGATGACACCTGCTGAAGACTCTGGGGGACGCGAGTGATAGTGTGAGAACGTGGAGTGGTGTGTCCAAAGGTTCCCAGTAGCTCTTTGTCTGTGAGGTGCTGAAAAACATGTCAAATGAAGGGAGTTCTCTAATAAAGTTCATTTGAATAGATGCTTAGCTGATACTACTTGAGTCGGTTTGTCAAATCATAAACGTCTAATTCGATTCACATATCTAGGGACCTTGGGCTCTGCTGGTCGAGGTCTCCGTTTGAACCCTGACTGAAGTCTGTTCTGAAGGACGAAGACGGAAGTTCCAACACCTTTAGTGTGTGGCCTTCTCAGACATGACACGGGGTAGTACCTGTCTTTTTGCTGCTTTTTGATGGCTTGTTGGAGTGAGTTATCCCTTCTTCACAGCTACTTCTAAGGTTAGCGCCAAGCTCCTGGGGGCTCATTGTCTTCATTTCAACTTCAAGCAGTGAGCTCAGCAATGTGGGATCAGCTTTCCAAACCACACTGTCTCTCCCTGATTCGGCTGTAGTCGTAGTAAGAGGACAAATGTCACATTGCTGGGCCTTGAAATGGGGGATTTTTTAGATGATGTGGGTGGTTTGCTTGACAGTGTTAAGTCTCGAGGTTTCCTCAAGGGCCAAACACATTACAATTAAGACATGTGAGATTTGTAATTTACACTCAGATACGATAATGTAGAGTTTTTACAGTGAACATCACCACACAGTACTTTAAAAATAAGGCTTTAATGTTTTTTAAATCTGTGCCAAATGCACTTGACTGTCCAGTAGCAGGTCACACAGCAGCTGGAGGATGCTTGTTCTAACACCTGCAGAGACTAGGATAGGAAACCTCATGTTGTATGAAATGCTCCCGTAACCGAGAGACTTGATGACTACTTGGCTCACTGTCTTAGTCAGTCTTCATGTTGGTCTGAATGTTGGGCACGAGTGAGACACTGCAGGCTTGCCTTTGTCCTGTCCTTATTCTCTGCTGTCCTCCTCAGTGTCTCTGCTCTTCCTCTTCCCAGTGCTCTTCTTTTTCAAATCCCTCTGCTCCTGGGTCAGTTCTTCACTTTTATTTTGTATGTAGATGGACTGAAATAAATAAAGGCAAATTAAACAGATTTGCTGTCTGCTGTAGAATATATATCTCATACACAGGTTCTGTATCACAGTGAAGTGATCGGGACACTGACAGGAATGTGTTTGTAGACTTGGTGGCTCCAGTGTTACTGATGTGACAATAACTCACCAGTGCAGTGCTGCGACGGGCGACGAGTTTTACATCCTCGGCATTGACGGTGCTTCTTTTAGCATGCCTGAAATCACACGTAAAGACATGTACATAATTGTAGGTTGGACTACGAGAAAAAGTACGAGCTTAAAACGACTGTTAGACAAATAAACGTGCTCACCGTGCAAAAGCTTCCAGGTCTTTAGCAAATACATCTGAAAAGTAAAACCAGAAGTGAGATGCAATTAAAAAAAACATGTTGAATATTTCATCCAGCACCGTTTACATATAAGAAGTTAGTTCTCAGTACTTTTCAGTTTTGATTGAGCACAGACGTGTTACAGAAAAAGGCTTCAGTGAATCCTGTTAACCCCCAACCTGAAAGTCTGTAAATGATTTTCTAGCTGCAGGTTTTCAACAAACACAGAGTTTGTCTCCAACCTTCCTGCCAAACCGCTACGAGCTGTCGGACATGTTTAACTTCACGGTGCAGCTTATTTCAGTAGATCAGAATCTAAGCGTATAGATTTGGTTTTAAAACATTTTTTATTACCCAAATAATGGTCTTTGTCCTCACATTCAAATATTACACATCCTCGATGATCCTGTGAGTGCCAAGTTTCCCTTCACTTCAACATTTAGTACAACTTAAAGTAATTTTATTTTTAAGTCTGAAGTTATACGACACTCATCAGTAACGTCTCAGGTTGTGATTAGCAGCATCACAGCTACTACATGCTGAAAATGTTTTAAGGTTTATTAAACATTTCTACGACATACTGCACAGTCATGAAAGCAATCTGCTGCAACTTAAATAAAAGATGGAATTTACATTTTAGCTGTGTCCCTTTTCTTATCATTTGCATAAAAGAGGAAATCTCAGGTACAAGTTTAAATCTGTAAACAGTCTGAGAGGAGTGGACTGAGTCTGGGGCCTCAACAAGGCAGAAGTGACCCTGCAAAAAGTCAAAAGTCAAACAAACATATTTAAGTATCGTACAAGGTTTTAACCTTATCTAACGTAATCTGATTGTGTTTTTTCAAACCAAAGAAAGGGTTTTAATGCTGCTCCGTGCAAAATCTAGATGACAAGTGATGTCTCTATTTTAGAACTCAGTCTTTTTTTATGTTTTCACTATTTTGGGAAATATTTTTAGCTTCATCGACATGAGCTGACAGAAACTAAGGAAGCAAAATATGGGCGGTGATTTTATAAAACAGGCGTCCTGCCTGGATTCATGATGTCAGTGGAGCACCACAAGCCAGTGTGTCTTAGCTAGGGTTCTAGTAACGGTAGAAAAAGTTATTAGTGATGCATTTCTTAGGCGTTGTGGTTGTATTACGGTATCCTCAATTTGAAAGTAATTACCAAGCTGCCTGAAAGCTGCAGAAAGAAGATGAGACCATGATTTTAAAAATGCACATTTCCATTTTTATCAAGTTGTAATAGAAGCCATTACTGCAGTAATTCAGTCGTCTCAGGTAACTGGTAGGACGTGTAAACTCTGTCAAACTTTCTGTTGTGTATTTGGTCTCATGGTCTCCACCCACAACTGTGCTGCCTCAAACAAGAATGTTCACATTCTCAGATTTGTGGATGACATCAGAACCAGCGGTGAAGGTGGTGTCAAAACAACAACTCTGACACTCAACAAGACCAAGACGATGACAGCAGGCCTGAGGCAGGAGAGAAGCCAACATCTGGACTTGTTGTGCATCAGTGGGTTGGAGATGGAAGGACAGTTTGAACCTTCAGGCCATGAGACCAAAGAAACACTCTGAAGCCACGGCTACCTCTTCCTCTGACCACATCACCCACTGATTGAACTTTGCAATGCTGTGTATGTTCTATCTTCACCTTTTGCATACTTTTAACAGAGTTTTATGCACATAGTGTTTTTGCCCAGTTCTCTGTGTACCTCAGGATGTCAGAGTGATTCTGTAAAGAGCTTAACCACAGCTTTGGCAGAGACAGCAAACCAAGAATGTCACTGAAACCACAGCTATAGCTGCATATGGCTCTAGAATGTAGTTATAATACAACACGTTAGAGATTTAACAGGATGTCTGAGTTTTAAGTTAACATTTCTGCCTGTGTGTGCCTGATGGTGAGTTTTAAGTGAATATGTGTTCCTGCTGGTCAGTTTTAAGTGAATATGTGTTCCTGCTGGTCAGTTTTAAGTGAATATGTGTGGTGGCTGCTGGTGGAGGCTGAGCTCGTCCAGGCTGCTTCACCCACCACACTGTCTGAACGCCGTCTCCGCTATGGCTGCTACGACCTGCCGGCTGAACTCCCTCCGGTGCTCCTCTCCGACCTTCTGACACAGACGACCCACCGTGTAGTGTACAGCTGCCTTTAGCCTCTACGATCAGAAACATTACATGTGATTTTAACACATCAACAGGGGGCCAGACACTTCTTCAGCATCACCACGTCGGCTGGAGGCGGACAGACGTGTTAGCTAAATGCTATAATGTAAATGTTAGCTCCGTTAGCTAACGACACTGTCAGCTTTGATCATGTAAATGTTAGCTACAGATAGCATGCAGACACACGAGTTAAAACGCTGCTAAAACTCTCACCTGGTGAGTTTCGTCTGTATCCACTGACATTTTGCTGTGGGGTAACTTTGAACCAACCAACTGAAAACAACGAGATTTCCTCCACAGCTGAGCTAAAGTTACGAAGTTTGGAGGGAAACGAATCATAAAACGGAAGTTTGACAAACTAAACAAGAAGCAGCTGGTACACACATCATTCAAGAACTATTTCTGACAGACAGGTTCTGGACGGAACCGTTCACTGAAAACAAAAACTCGCGGCAGAAATACATCAACAACCAATGACGCGCCTTCTTCTTCTTCTTTAGTGGTTTAGTGGTGAACCGTCGTAAAGGCGCATCACCGCCACCTACCGACAGGAGCTGGCATTAAATATACAGTCGTCCTCAGATGTATTCATCTCCTTTCATTAAAAAGGAAAGGCAAAACTCACAACAGTCACTCAAATAACTGGAAACTGAAAAAAGTAATAATAAATAAAAATTTCCTAAATTATAATTCAGTGAAATAAGACGTTGCTTTTGAATTGTGGTTAAAAAGAATAATTTTTAAAAAACAAGCAAAACTGTCTTGGACCAATGAGAGGCCTTTGCTGATGAGCAGTGGACCAGGATACCTGTCAACAGGTGCACAAGTCTGACTGAGAGTTACAGAAAAAAAAAGAACATTTTTCAATATTTTCTGACATTCTGGAGACCAAACAAATGATCGATTAATCACGAAAATAATTGACAGATTAATTAACAATGAAAGTAATCGCTAGTTTCAGCACTGATCAAACCTTTCTGTCCAGTTTTCAGTCTACTTGTTGCCACTCTCTCCTCCTGTTAGTCTCTTGCTTCTCACCACACCACCTTTATTGTGGAGGAGGTGTAGATGTGTCCCTTTGTTGAATCTGTAGTTTCCTTTTTAATAGTTTCCTTTGCGTTTCGTTTCCTTGGGACACCTGAATGTGACTCGTACAAGCACGCAGAACATCAACGAGGTTCCTCATCCATGTATTGGATCCCCTGGGCGCTGGGCTGAGGTCACCTGCACCTTTGACCTTCCACTGATGGACAGCAGGCTCACATTAAAGGGATATTTTTATTTCAAAGCTAAATCGACAAGAAATCATGAAGCAGATCTTGAAGCTCACTGTCTGTTCCTGTTCTAATAACTGTCAGCGCTGAGACAGTCACTCCATGTCAGTGTTTGGGTTTGTCTCACCTGAGTTTATTTCTTGTTTATTTATTTATTATTTTGTTTGTCAGCACCACCGTGTGGACTGGAAGAGGTACTGCAGCATTCACACACTACATATTACAACACATTAACTGGACCATAGTGGAGGTATTTTGAGGTGCAGTGATTTCTTCTTTCCAGTTGTTCCCATCAAACTCAAAAATATGAGAAAAGGGACAATATTTTATTCATCCATTCATTGACAATATGCCTGTTGTGTTGGGATCATCTATCATAAAGGATTGTTTTTTTTTCTCTTAAAGCTAAAACAAATATTTCATTACAATATTTTAAAAGTAGTTATTCCTCCAAACTTGTGTTGAATTGAACTGTATTTGAGAATTAAGTTTATTTTAATATACAGACACCATACATTTTGAGAACCTGTAGAGTATAGAGTAATGAAATTAGCTGGTTTGGAACTAAAAATGCATTTCTCCATTTTTTATATGTTTAATAACATGATTTCGTTAATGAAAAACACATATTTATGAATACTATATCTATATAATTTCAGATATTTGACTGATGTTTTACAGTTGAGGCTTTATTTCAAGTATTTAAGAAGATGACGGTGTTAGTTTATGGTGTGTAAGATGCCAGTTTTTCATTATTATTGTTGTTGTCTTTCTTTTTGATTTGCAGTGTTCTTGTACAGATGTTAATAAAACAAACAAAAGCAATCAGATTAGAAGCTCTTTATTATGTGGCTCTGCTCATTTCATGCAAACACTACAAATGCGTTTAAAAGGTCACAGAGTCCTTTTAAAAATCTGTTTGCAGACTTGATCCTCACAGGTGAGTTCCTGCAGAGAGAAAACAGCAGTTTGTGAAATATTCCTCTGGGAGCACCACTTTTTAACAACTTTGCACGAGTCCAGCAAATCAGATGAACATATCAAAGTCTTCTGAACACTAATCGGACCGTAACCAGAACAACATCTGCAGCCTCACCAGATGAAGCTCGTCTCCTTGGATCCAGTGTTTCCAGCCTCGGTTCCTCTTCTCTCCTCTCTGGACACACACCAGCTTGTCACCGTCCCAGTTGACCACAGTCTGGTAGAGAACAAAGATCTATTAAAACACGACAAACTAGACTTTAACAGCATCCAGCAGCCCTGAAGCTGTTTGGATCTTCACCTGGCAGCTCCGGTTGTCCATCCCCTTCGTCACCTCCTTGAACTCTTCTCCGATTTTGAACGAAAGCTCATAATTCCTGAACGTGGTGAACGTCTGGATGTTGAAACTGTCTCCGTCTTGCTTAATCACTTTCTGCGGCTTCAACATCGAAGCGACCTTGCGGGTTGCAAAATCAATGCCTGCATGTGAAAACGAGAAGAACATGAAGAAACTGAGCCGCCACGGGGAAGTGGCTTCACTCTGCTGCTGCTTTTATCCTCATCTGAGCAGAAAATACACCAACATTCAATTCTATTCAACAATGGATCCAGATTCTTACCTCTAAGTAAGTGTTTTTTCATGTATTTTACATAAATGATGCAGAGACAAGACATAAACCTCACCAGTGTTTCCTCATAGCATGACTCAGCAGTTCTCAAGTGTATTGATTTTAATAATGAGTTAAAAGAAGCAGCGACACTCACCAAGTGAAACCATGTACGCCTCAAAGTTGACATTACTGACGATGTCCCACGTCCCAGAGTAGTCGGCAGGCATCCTGGATGTTCGCTGAAGGCTCGGCAGCAGGAGGAATGGTTTGAGGTTATTGGGTGGGATTTTTATTGTGAGCCAATGTGGGGCAGAGGTGATGTTCTGCTCACCACAGCTGGTACACAGGAGAAGTTCTGGCGGGTGGAGCAGAACTCTGCACATAATACGAGGAAGCCAACTATCCTGTTCCTGACAGGTCGAAAGCAGGATGTGACCTTTTTTACAGTAATGCTTAACGCTGTTCTCCTTTGCTGAGGCCAAAAACACGACTTTGAACTTGTAATGATCAGAGTATAAGCAACACAACATGCAGCCTGCGGGGCAGTGAAACACAATCCTCCCTCCTGTTCAGGGCTTCTGGCTGTTCAGATCACATGCAGCCATCAGGGTCGGTGGAGCAGCCTCCATGTTCCTGTACATGCTCGTCTTCATGGCCTATCACAGCAGCAGATGGATTCCCAGGAACCAGAGGTTAAAATTGTGAGTGCTGCCACGGATCCCAGAGGTGTTGGTGTTTTACAAGCTGCTGCTGATGTTTTATTCATTTCCCATTCAGTCAGATAGTGAATGCAGTGTTCACGGCCGCCGTCCTGGTCCCTCAGCTCTACGTCATGGGAAGGTAACTGGGACACAGGCGGTGGCACCGGGCCATGCAGATCACGGGTCGATGGAGCAAAGGCGGAACGTTGCGCTAACAATGGTGTCTTTCCTGATTCAAGGCCCAAATCCTCCAGATACTGCCGGCAGCCTCTTCTGAACAACCTGTCCGCCTCCATTGCTTTGAGTTTCATAGCTTCAGGTGAGTCAGACTAGATTCAGAAACACATGTACTAGTCTGGGATTCATGTTGATACCTCTTGTTCTAGGGTTCTCAGTGATATTCACCCTGATGGACCCGGTTCCTCAGAGCGTGTGGGCTGCCTATCATGTGTTCGGTCTGCTGTCATGTGGACACGGGCTGTGTACCGCCATCCTGACTCTGACAGCAGCCGCATGTGTAAGAAAAACAATCATAGTGTGTTTTACTATAAAACAAAACCCATCTCAGTGGTTTGTTTGTGTGTCCACAGGCCCAAACCACCCCAGAGCTGTACCACACGTCCCTGATTCTAACAGCGGCCTCGACTCTGAGTACAGGTGAAGAACATCTCTGTCTCTCTATCACATATTTAACCGTTCATACAGAAACACCTGCTCGTGTCTGTTCAGGTTTTTTCCTGGTGAGAGGAGGACTGTGGTTGACGACGAGGCGCCCAGTAACGGACCAAAGCCGAGACTAAAACGGTCCAGCTGTCCGACATCTGAAACGGCACATATAAAGAATTCATGAGGTTTTCCTGCCGCCGGTAACTTTAAACCACGAGGAGGAAAGAAAAAACAAAAGGAGGCGAGTGACTTAATCCACCTTGTGTTTTAATCCTCACATCAGAAAAGCAGATGTCTCGATTGTTTAAAGGCTTTTGCTTTTTATTCGTCGATGGGTTCTGGTTGCATTTGTGGTAAATATGTGGTTTGAACATCCAAAGTAGAGCTACACACATTAATATGTCAAATCTGCATACAGTACTGCATGTGTCCTGCTGGGAAATTAAAGCTGCAATGAACAGATTCAAGCGGGAAAATTAAAAAAGAGAGAAAGAAAGAAATGCTTTACTGGTTTATAAAGCAAAGATGTTAAAAAAAAAAATCCAGATGTTGAACCAAAATACAAGTAACCTCCACCATCTGAATGCCTACAGTCGTCCTCAGAGTTATTCATCCCCTTCCATTAAAGAAAAGGCAAATTTCCCCTTCAATTACCTGGAACTTGAAAAAGTTATTATTAATTAAAATTTTGTTAATTTTTATTTTGTGCATTTCTTTTTCATTTTTGTTTTGTGTTTTAATATAATAATTTTCACACAACAAAACGGTCCCCGGTCTCTTAGAGCTTTTTGCTGATGTGGCCTCATTCCTGTTCCCTTTTTTTTTTTTTTTTGTTTTTTTTGAGTGTTTTTGTGCTGACTGGCTTTTCGTGATTGGCTTCATGGTTTTTTCTACTTTTTTTTTTTTTGTTCGTTTTGTCATTTTTGGTTTTTTTCTTTTTTTTTTTTTTTTTTGTTGGGCGGGTATTCACACGTCTGGTGATGATTTTCTTGTTTTTTTTTTTTTATTATACCTTTTGTCAATTTCAGTTTTTTTTTTTTGTAGCTGTTTTTTCCCTTTTTTTATGGGAGGTTATTGTTTGTCCGGAGTCCGCCTGTGTCTGTTCGTGTGTTTCTTACCTGTTACTTTTGAATCTTGCACTAAAAGTGTGTGTTCACTGTTTACACATGTGTGGTTTCTTTTGAATGTTTTCTTTTTTTGTGCTTTGCGTCTGCAGGTCTTTGTTATTGTCCGTCGGTACACTTTGTGGCGTTTTTTGTCGGCTTGTATTGGTCTCTTTTTCTTCGTGCTTGCGTCTTTTGTGAGGCTCTGGTGATGACTCGTGTCACCTTTGGAGTAGCATCCAGTTTACATTTAGTGTGTAAACTATAAGCTTGAATCTTGTTGGACTCATAAAAAGCACCGTTAGATCATTTGCACTGCTTGTATTAAGGACAGGAATGTACTTTTTATTCATGACCTCGTTATAAATGACTTTATTTATTTTATTGATGAATAAACGAGATTTTTTGTGGGATGACCTCCTTTTCTAGTCTTTCTTTTATCCAGCTCATGTCCGGAGGCTTGTTGAGGCTCAATGATAGAAAATATACAATCAAGAAATGCAGATTACACAGTAAGCTGCTCGTCTGAAGATTCACCTGAGATCTGATCGTATTCACACAAACACACTTCTAGGAAAAAAGAAAATCAATCTCTGTGTTGAAGTGAGTCTCAGCATCAGATTTGTCGTATATTCTGCTGTAAACTGCAGACGTGTACACTTCATACAGTCGTCTATATTACCACTCAGCTCATTGGACTCATTACAAAAGGTCTGCATCTGCATTTCTCACACACACCCTAAAAAAAGTTAAATTAGGCTCAATCTTTTAGATAAAAAAAGACCATATCAGCAGTGTTTTCCACTTATTAACTACAAATCGCAGATACTCAGCATCCTCGCCGTATTTTTTTTTTGTTCACCATCTTTTCATAATCTTCTGTTGAGCAGCTCCTTCAGTCTGAACTCAGATGATCTGCTGGTAGAGAACGAATCAGAAGCCGTATGACAGCATGTTCAGTACATGTGTGTTTGTAGTTAACGAGCTAAAGCGTGTAAAATCACAGATCCTTCATGTGCCGGCTCGTACATCCAGCACCGACTACAGCAGCTCCACAGACGTTGGTGTGGTTTGTTGATCCCTAACCTAAGAGTGCATCGTAGTCTATGTACCAGACGAGTGTTCCCTGATCCGGCTTCACGGCCAGGACGGGGTATTTGTCTGAGTTGTCCTTCACTCGGCTCAGCTGTTGGATCAGCTCGTGCTTCCCTTTGCCCATCACCAACAGCGCCACCCTGTGAGCCCGGTTGATGGCGCTGAAGGTGAGGCTCATGCGCTGGTGAGGCTTGACGGGGCTCTCGGTGAGGGTCACCAGACTCTCCCCGTGCTCGCTTGCTTTGCTTCCAGGGAACAGAGAGGCAGTGTGGCCGTCGTAGCCGACGCCCAGCAGAACAAAGTGGAAGCTGGAGCCGTTGACCCATTTGCTGAGCTCCTTCTCGTACTGCAGCGCCCCCCGGTCCTCCTCCACGCACAGGCGCTGGTTGAGCTGCACCGGCATGGGGTGGATGTTGTAGTAGGGGATCCTGACGTGCTGCAGGAGGTGGTCGTACACGCTGCGGAAGTTGGACTCGGGTTCGGTGAGCGGCACGCAGCGCTCGTCCACCATCCACACGTGGGTGTTCCTCCAGGGGAAGGAGAAGTGGTGCAGGACCAGCCGGTGGAACAGAGCCAGAGGAGTGGAGCCGCCGGAGAGGGCCAGATGGAAAACACCGGCCTCCCGCACCGCCGCCTCCGCCGCCTCCTGCAAGTCCTCAGCCAGCCTCTCCACGAGCCCCTCGGCCCAGGCAGACACCATGTCCGCGCTGCGAAACTTGCCCTGCATCACCTGGAAGTTGTTTGCTGCTGCGCCCCCCATCTGCTCGGGGCTGATGATCAGCACCTCGCTGCTGTAGCTGATGTCGTTCCCCTTCAGACGGACGTCCAGCAGGGCTCCGTTGTCGGCGCCGCCGGGGTAGATGCGAGGAAAAGAGCTGGCTAAGCTGCTGAGCAGCGGCGTCCACAAGCTCCAGGAGGCCAGCAGGTTCTCACTGCTGATGAAGCTATTCTTACGTCCAGCAAAGATGTGAGAGATGAGCTCTGCGTACGCCTCCCTCTGCTCGGTGGGAGTCTGAACATAGTAGTCTGAAATGGACAAACCGAGAACGCTGACGTCTTTGTGCTCCGTCACTTCCTTCCAGTCGCCGTCGATCAGAGCCGGCTTGAACAGGTTCTTGCTGACGAGGATCGCTGGATACTGAAGGTCCCCGTGGCCGAAGTAGAAGACGATCTGTTTGGGTTTGCAGTGAACGCTGTTGTGTTTCTGAAGACAAAACATGTCGTTCTTAAACAGGATGCGGGCGTATCCCACCCGCTCATCCAGCATCTTCCCTGAGATCAGAAGAATCGGGACGCCTTCGTACTGCGTCTCGTCGATGTGCGCCAACACAGCTGGAACAGAAACATGATCACATATCAGCATCACAGTTTTAAGGATTTATCTTTCAACCCTCTGTGCCCCGAAAAGCATTTCTTCTTTTAGAAAGTCACCATAATTACACCTTTAATTAGAGCCAGACGCTGTATGAACAGAAAACGTTGTTGCATTTCAAATTTTATGACAAAATCTGAGCTTAAAATTATAATATTTCATCAAAATCTGTTTATTCTAAAAAAATTGTCAAAACTAAATAATTTGTGGAAACCAGATTTAGTAAAAAACAAACAAAAAATGTCATTAGTGGCTTTAAACATGACAAAAATGAATAATCAGACTGTACAACATCAGCATCACCGGCTGATGTGAACCAAACGGACAAAATTAAACAAAAACAAAACTATCTGGTTTATTTTTCAGTGTAAATATTGTTTTTTTTTTATTATTCAATAGTATATTTTTGTCATCTTGTGTACAAACTTATTTTATTACTTAATTGCTGTTATTTCCTTCTACTTTCTTTCTATATTTTTGGATGCTGCTGCTGTGGCGGGTAAATTTCCCCCAATGGGTTTAATAAAATTATTCTATTCTATTCTAAATTAGCGACTTTCTGGCTGAAATGAGCTGAACTGACAGGAAACAGGTACGGAAACGGATTAAACATGTCAGAAAAACATTAACATTACATGAAGTCACCATTTATTTCAGTGCTGGTAAAACCTCGGGCAGAAATGTTGTACATGTTTATTTCATATTTTAATTTCTTTACAAAACAAGCAAATAATTCTCTTTTTTTGAATGATTTCTGGCATTCTAACTGTGTCATGCTGCACCATAAACATGTTTAATTCTCTCTACTTCTAGCCGTGGTTGTGCAGGACTTCATGTTGTAGTTTAAATGAGCCCACAGTGAGTAAAAATGTGAAAATATTCCCTGAACCTAGCGGGGCTCAGAGGGTTAACAGCAGCAAACAACATCGACAATCCGTCACGACTGACCTGCAAACGTCGGCGTGAGGCTGATGTGGTCTTTCGTCTTGTTGAGCTCCTGCTGGACCTCCGATTTGTACGCCTGGTACTGTCCGATCACAGCCTGATTCTTTCCTAGAGGCAGCAGGGAGCTGAAGATCTGCAGCTTGTTCTGGAGAACCTCCTCGGTGCTGCTCACATTCTTTGGGAGCTTGGCGGTCAGCAGCGTCATGACCTCCGTCAGGTGGTTCTGCAGCACGTCTCGGATCACCCCGTACTGGTCGTAGAAGGGAATCCGGCCTTAACGAGAGAGGACACGTGATTAGAAATCTCTGCCATCTTTATATCTCAAAGGAGTTAATTCCAGCAGGGTTGATGAAGCCTTTAATCACCTTTCACATCCAGAGTCTCCTTCACTACGATCTCGATCCTCTCGATGGAGTGCTTGTTCCAGATGGGATCAAGAAACTGTCTGTTCTCTATCCTGAATGGAAGAATCTTGGACACCACCTTTCCCACAAAAGAAAAACAAACAGACCATTAAAACTGAATCTTTCCGTTGGTGAAACATCTGCAGCATGTGGGATCTTCTTACCTGTTTGCCCAGGTAGTGGTCGATCCTGTACATCTCTTCATCCTTCAGCGAGCTCCCGAGCTGAGACGCCAACACCTGAGCGCTCCTGAAGTCGTGGCCAAACGGCTTCTCCAGCACCACCCTCAGCCAGGCCCCGCTGCTCGGCCTGCAGCTGCCGTTGATCTTCTCGGCGATGTCTGCATACGCGAACGCCGGCACCGACAGATAGAAGAGCCTCCCCGCCTCCGTCATGCCCTCCTCCTGGAGCTGCTGCTCGATGTGCTTGGCCAGCGCCTGGTAGTCCTCCAAGGTCTTCAGCTGCCGGTACTGCGAGAGCCGCAGGAACTGCTCCTTCAGCAGAGCACAGCGCTCCGGGGACACGTCCTGGGAGCAGGACACCGCCTTCAGAGCCTCGAACAGCACCGGCGTGGCCTTGTCAGCCGGCGACAGGCCTCCGCCGTGGAAGGAGAAGCTGTTTCCACTGCTGACCTGGTTGACGTAGAGCTGGAAGAAGCCCTGCCACAGGTACTTCTTTGCCAGGTCGCCCGTGGCTCCCACGATGATGACAGAAACATGACCGGGTCTCTGCGCCTCCTCCGCCTCCTCGCTGTGCCCTCTGTGGGCACAAAGAGTGACCAGGAGCAGGAGCACAGCCACAAACATCCTCGGGTCCGAACCGTCCAAAGTCCTGCATGAACAACGAGAGACGAGCAGCCGATTTAACCAAAATATCAAGCATGAGAAATAACAGTTTGTCAGTCATTAAAGGGGCGAGTCTGTCCTTTATAGGTAGTTTAATGTTTAAAAAAGTCCCAAAAAAGCCCAAAGATCTAAAGTTGATTACTAAAATGGCAGTTCTGACTCCATTTCCTAAAATATTCAGGGCCTCAAACTGCACAAATGTACGACGTCTGATGCTTTTAAAAAGGTTTACACATCACCTGGCTACAGCGAAGTCTCAGCTTTTCTCTCAACAACAAAACCAGAAAGAACAACAGAAGAAGAAATAGGTTCAGCCACATCGAGTGTCGTCACTCTGCTTGTATTTCTAAATGCAGACTTGTCACAGAAGACACGGAAAATCCTCAGTTAAGAGGCTACGACCTGCAAAATTGACATTTGTGCTGGATGAATAAATAGTTATTTATTCATCATAAGACTTCTTCACTCTCTCTAACTAATAAAGGATTCAGCTCATCTTTCCAGCTCTCAGTGTTTGATAAAAGCAAACGTTCGTCTCCGGTGAGCCCCGTTCACAACACAACAACATCCACATGCAAACTATTTGTCTGAAATCCAGGTTTTGATTTGACCAACAAGTTAAATCACAAGAGTTAGAACAACAAACTTAAATGTGAACACTTACGAGACAGTCCAGAGAGCTCGTCTAAACCCTATGAATGAAAGCCGACGTTGACCTCAAACACGAACCCGTAGATGAAACAGATAAAACTCAGCGACGTCTCCGTCCCGGCTTTTTTAAAGTCCTCTGAGAGTCAGCGGTGCCGTCATGAGCGAGCTGATTACTGGATACCGGCGGTTCAGGGGTGTGGACTTCGTACTTTGCTCCGGGGGCATCGAGCTTCCAGGACAAGAGTTGTGCTGTTGATGGTATTCTGGGAAATTATGACCAATTTACTGATGACTTTGTGGGGAACAAAAATCCTTTATTGAGCAAGACAGTGAAGGCTGAAGTCAAAAATCAATATCCTTTTTGATCTGACATAACGTTTTAGTGTTATTGTGGAAAAACATTCAAGGCGACTGATGTGAGAACCTTGAATTAATGAAGTATCTCAAATTATTCATTGTATTGGAAGTGGCTAAAGGGATTTAAAAGCTGTTATGGACAAAAGAGAAGCCTTAATTAGAGGAATGTTTACTCTTTTTGAAGAGTTCTTCTTGTCTTTTAGGTATCTGAACAACATTAGTCTCCAAAATTTGCAGCTGTCTGTGCACACAAACCATAAAACCGCATGTTGAAATGCTAATGGCTGCTGTAGGAAATGATTCTTCGGTTCTTTAGTTACGGAGCAGAAACGGGAACATTTAGTGAAAAGTTACGCATGTCAAGAAGAAAAGCACTGAAGGTCAGTCAGATAACTAGGGCAAAATACAGATAGTGTTTAAGTTCTCACTTTGTTTTAAACGACAGAAATCGGATCCAAACTCTCAAAAGAATTAATAACGAGTGAATGGATTGAAGTTAAAAAGAGAACATCTATGCTGATTAATGTCCAAAAGATTTCTAATAAGAAGAATAAAACGTGCTCCTCTCGCCTCAGACATCTGAAATAATTCATGTCTGAGTGTAATTCAAACAAAACTTTATTGTCACATGAAGAACTGACTGTAAACATACGTTTGTGTTGGTAGACATGGAGCTGCACTTTTATCTACACTAGAGAGTTACAGGCCCATAAACTTAATTAATGACAGAGTCCATTTTATTTCCCCTCTCTGGTGGGAGTCTGAACGTTGCACACGGTGAGCAGAACACCCACACGCTGGCTTTATGACCGAGTGCAACATCTGGAACGCCTGCAGTCCTCGATCCTGTTTGCACAGCGGCAACGCAAACAGCAAAGGCCGCCTCGCTGCAGCTCAGTCCTCGTCCTGAATCACTCTGTTAAGGATTACTGCAGTCGTTACCACATATTAAAACTGACCAACATCCTGAATCACAGGCATGAGAGGTGGAAAACCTGAACACAGAAGACTCTATCATCACCAACCTTCAGCCCCGACCGCTTCGTTCCTGCTCAGTCACAAGCTGCCTTCCTATCAGCATTGAAAATCTCGCATCATACCACATGTTTGGTCCAAATCAACTCATCAATCCATAAATTATCCCAAACAACAAGGCCTTTTCTCTTCTCCTGGGTGCATTACATGTCGCTCTTAAGTAATCGTTCAGCGTGTGAACCTTCATGTGTGGACTGGGGGGAGAGTCTTCTTGAGATCAAGTGATGATTCCAGGTACCGTGCAAGTTCACATTAACTAGAGAACATCGGCCACATCTACACACAAGGAGGACTTGTCTCATGACTGGAGGATAGTAGAGCAGCGTCGTGTGGTGTTTTTGTGGCCACATTTATCACCACGAAATGTTTCCACAAAACTCCATGAGCACTAAAAGTGTTCACTCATGACTACGTGAAACTGTTGAGCCCAGTCAGCTGTTCCATTGTGACCAATAAGCATGTCATGGCTTCAGTTCAAAACGCCAGAAATACCTCATTTATGGGACTGAACTGGACGTTATAGTCCGATAAGTTTCAAACACAGTCGATAATCCAACACTAAATGTAAAACCTTCTTCTATGTCGGATTGTCCAGACGGAGGTCCAGATACGAGGAGGGCTTGATGCTGGAAGGCTCATTAGTTGTTCATTATTGTTCATAGTTGTTATAATAACTAGTAGGGCTGGTCCCAGTAGAACTTTCTGCTCTCTGGATATTCAGGCCCAATTAATGATGAATATCAGAACATTCGTTGTGGTCGGGGGACACTTCCACCCCGGGGCAGCGCTCTGACGGGGTGGAAGTGTCCAGAACACACAGGCAGTACTTGGCTGCTGATGCTAGTTTAGTTAGCGCTCACACTTCTGTTTCCACCATCGGTGGCGGCGGGGGAGTGGCAGATACGCTCCACCGTTACCATCCATGTTTACTTCCATAAACACTGAGCACGCTCGCTGCGTGTGACGTCGTCGTGTCCTCTTCTGCGCACTTTTCTGACCTTTAAGTCATTTGATCTCTCTGAAATGTTCTGATGATTAAATGGGTTTTACAAATATGAACCGCTAATTATCTCAAGAACAACCGCACACCAACAGCTCACTGCATATAAATCAATCTGTTCTCGGCTGCTGCTGCTGAAGTCTCGTGCAAAAGAACATTTGTGCCTCAGATCACTAGAAGCAAACAGATTCATTCAACCAAACAAAGAGCCCAACTATACTGCATTTTTTTGGGGCCAGGGTCAATTTTAGGGAGTAATTAAACCCGACAGTAAATAAATAGTTCAAGACCCACAACAAGCGTAATCATGGGGAAGACTGCTGACTTAGAAGTTGATCATCGACACCCCCCACGAGGACGGCAGGCCACAGGAGGTCACTGCTGCTGGCTGGAAGGGAAAAGTAAAGCAGGAAAATGTGTACAAGCAGCAGGGATGACCGCAGCCTTCAGAGGACTGCCAAGAAAAGTCGATTTAAGAACTTGCGAGAGCTTTAAAAAGAGCTGACTGAGGCTGGAGTCAGAGCATCAGGAGCCGCCACAGACAGACGTCCAAAGAAAGGAAGCTACAAGCGTCACATTGCTGATATCAAGCTGATCCTGAACCAGAGACAACATCAGAAGCACCTGATCTGGGCTAAGTAGGAAAAAACTGGGCTGCTGCTCAGTGGTCCAAAACCACCTTTTGAGATAAAGGAAATTTTGCATTTTGTTATTAAAATCAAGGTCCTAGAGTTTGAAGGTAGAGTGGAGAAGCAAAGAATCCAAGTTTATGTAATGGTTTGGGTTTACACGTCACCTGCTGGTGTTGGTCCATGCGGTTTTATCAAGTCCAAAGTTGGAGCCAAGTCTGGAGAACTTCATGCTTCAATGTGCTGACGAGCTTTATGGAGACTTCCTGTCTCCAGCAAAGCTTAGCGCCTGTCCACAGAACCAGAACTACCAACTGGTTTGCTGTCCAGGACATTACTGTGCGTGACTGGCCAGTCCCAACAAGTACTGAGTGTATAAATTAACACATTTTACTAAGTTGGATACTTCCATGAAGTGCATCCTTTTTTAAAAAATTGATCTCAGGAAATACTAAAATATTTTAAGATGCTAGATTTCTGATTTTCCCGAGCTACATGCCACAATCATCAAAATTACAACAAAGAAAGGCTCAACATGTTCCACTTCATATGCAATGAGTTCAGAATATATGTCAGTTGGATTTTTCCAATTAAATTATGAAAAAAAAAAAAACTTTTCCCACGATTTTGATTTCTTTTTACATGCACTTGTATATGCAGTATGCAATGTTCTACTAACTGGTTTTGCCATGAATAAAATCAAGTCAGGAGCTTTATCTTCATATCAAACGTCAGAATGAGACTGAAAGGTGAAGTCAGTGCCTCTGGCTGTGGCGTGGTGGACCAGATGGCCTGGTCCTGAAACTGCTGACCTCTTGGGATTCTCACAACAGAATGGAGTGAAGCACAGAAAGCATCCAATGAGAAGCAGTTGTGTGGACTGAAACACCTTGTTCACGGCAGAGGTCAGAGGAGAATGGCCGGGCCGATCGGAGCTGACAGAAAAGCTTCGGTAGGTCAGATAATCACTCTTTACTAGCGCGGCGTGGACAAAAGGTGGAGCCACATCAGGCACCGCTGCTGTCGGCCAAGAACAGAAATCTGAGGCTACAACTGGAACAGATTCACCAAAACTGGACGGCTGGAGATGTAAAAACGTAGCCTGGTGTGATAAATCCCCATCTTGCTGAGGTTGAGGCTCAACGTTTCTCATCAACAGCATCATGGTTTGTGTCTCCTGGTTGTGTAATGCTGTGGTGAAGCTTCCTCAGCACACTTTGGAGCCCCTCAACAATCAGAAATATCACAACTTACACAGGATTGATGCTATCTGTGTGCATCACATTAAG